AGATGGAGATGAGGGAGATCAATTTTTTTTTGCTTCCCCCCCTTCCTGCCCAGGTTTTTGTCTTTAAAACTGATTCCCTCCCACTGAAAGCACTGGGGAAAGAGGGGATTAATCTGTGCTGGTTCCAGGGCTGTCATAGATTACCAAATAATTTGTGAGCATGTTTAGAGACATGTTCTGCTTTCTTCTGATACTTGGGCATTGCCATTTGTACATAATGTTCCTGGCTTTTAAACACTAACAAAAAACCCAAGGGGTTAAATCCAGTGCTTGAACCTATCTAGGGAATTGAGATGAATGGATTGAACAACTGTCAGGTACAGTTGATTACAGAATCATATTTTGAGAGAGTGCTTATTAAATTGTTGTTGTTCCATGCTGTCAAGTCACCTCCAACTTTTGGCAACCTTGTCAATGAGTTCTCTCCAACATGTCCTGCCCTCAGCAGCCCTGCTCAACTCCTGCAGACTCAAGGTTGTGGCTATCATTAGGGAGTCAATCCATCACATATTTTGTCTTCCTCTTTTCCTTCTGCCTTCAGCTTTTCCCAGAATTATTGTATTTTCAAGAAAATCTTGCCTTCTTGTTCAAAGTATGATAGCCTCAGTTTCATCATTTTTGCCTCCAGAGATAGATCAGGCTTGATTTGCTCTAAGACCCATTTGTTCAACTTTCTGGTGATCCAAGATCTCCACAAGGCTCTCCCCCAGCACATTTTAAATGAATCAACTTTTTTCCTGTCAGCTTTCCTCACTGTCCCATTTCTACACCCATACATAGTGACTAGGGAGTACAGTAACATGAATGATCTTGACTTACAGTGGCACATCCTTAAACTTGATCATTTCTAATTTCCTTCATTGGCACCCTTTTGAGTCTCAGCCTGATTTATTTGCTGCAATCTCCATTTGGATTGATGATAGGACCAAGGTAAACAAAATCTTCTAATTTAAAATAAAAAAATTAAAAATGCTAATACAAATACAAACATCAAAAATATTTCTGTATCCAATAAAAATCTAATAAAGAAAATCTTTAACAATTTCAATGTATCCACTGTCAACATTAAAATTGTCTTCTTAATTAGAGATGGTCACAAACCATCACAGTGGCTGTTTGTGATGGTTTGTGGTTCATCGGTGTCCATGAACCACACCAATTAAAAAAAAATCTTAACTGATTCATGGTTCGTTTGGCTCAAGCCCATCTCTAAATTAAGAGGGCTTTCTGTGTAGCTCAGCAACACCCCCCCCACAGGCCCCAGGACCTACCTTTCTTGCTCCAGGCCTCCTTGTGGCACAGGGAGCCTTGTGGCACAGTGGTTAAACTGCTGTACTGTACTAATGACCCAGATTCAATCCCAGGTAGCCAGCACAAGCTTCATTCAGCCTTCCATCCTTCTAAGGTTGGTAAAATGAGTACTCAGCTTGCCAGGGGGGATGTGTAGCCTGTATAATTAAAATTGTAAGCACCATAGAGAGTGTATTCTTGAAGGCTTTCACGGCTGGGATCTGATGGTTGTTGTAGGTTTTTCAGGTGCTCTGGCCATGTTCTGAAGGTTGTTCTTCCTGACGTTTCATAGAGCATGGACAGAGTTCCTACTCCAGTCCTCTGAAGATGCCGGCCACAGAGACTGGTGAAACGTCAGGAAGAACAACCTTCAGAACATGGCCAAAGAACCCAAAAAAACCACAACAACCATCATAGAGAGTACTTTAAGCACTATGGGGCGATAAATAAGCAGCACATTTTTGTTTGTTTGTTTGTTTGTTTTTTGGCTGCTCCTCTCTACCACTCCTGTGCTGCCCAGTTGAGTAGGCCATCTGGGGTCTGCTTCCTGGTCCAGTGTTTCCTGGGAGGCTTAGGGTGTTGTGGGAAGTATAGTTCTTTGAGAGTTCCCTGCATATAACCTATTGGCAACAAAACTGGTTCATTATCAGTTGAATTTAGCAATGCAAATCTATTCCTCAGAAAGTATGCTTAAATTATATTTTGGTGCTGTTCTTGTTATATGTCATCATGTCGCCCTTGGCATATAGCATCCATGGCTGAGTGATCCCCAAAATGGCCTGCCCTCAACAGCCCTGCTCACCTCTTGTAAAATCAAGCCTGTGGCTTCCTTTAGGGAGTCAATCCATGTCATATTTGGTCTTCCTCTTTTCCTGCTGCATCCCACCTTTCTCATGATTTTCCCAGAACTCTAGAAGTCATTTTCCTGCTTCATTTCTGACCCCTGGGCCAAAATGTCCAACAACATTTGGTTCAGCTTTGTTTCCTACTTTTACATTTCATTCATCTGGAATGGAAGGCAGCCATTGGACAGCACAAGTAACTTTTGTTAGTACTGCATAGAAGATGACAATGGAATACCACTTCTTAACCTTTCTTATCCTGAAAAACTCTATGATGATAATCCAAATGAAACAAGAGATAGTGCTGGAATATGAGTCACCTAAATTGGAAAGCACTCAAATCAACTACTGGGGAAGAACAAAGGACAAGTATGAATAGTGCTGTTTCTAATTATGCTTATCAATGGCTCCTTCACAAACTCGGAGGAGGTAACATGTGGGTTACCACAGGGCTCAGGGCTCCTCTACATTTTTATGAATTACTTGAAGGGGTGCAAGGAATGCATATCAGATTTGCAGATGACACAAACTTGGGTGGATCTTGATAACCTTGAGCATTGGGCTGAAAACAGCAGTATGAAATTTAACAGGGATACGTGCAAAATTCTACACCTAAGAGGAAAAAAAACAAACACAAAGTTACAGAATGGAGGATATTTCGCTCAGTAATACTGTGACCAAGAAGGATCTTGGAATTGTAGATCACAAGCAGAATATGAATCACAAAAGAGGCTAGTGCTGATTTAGGCTGCATTAACAGAAGTAGATAAGAGAAGGGGAGAAGTAAAAGGGACGTGCTGGTACTGCAGGTTAAACCACAGAAGCCTCTGCGCTGCAAGGTCAGAAGACCAGCAGTTGTAGGATTGAATCTGTGCAATGGAGTGAGCTCCCGTCGCTTGTCCCAGCTCCCGCCAACCTAGCAGTTCGAAAGCATGCAAATGTGAGTAAATAAATAGGTACCACCATGGTGGGAAGGTCACAGTATTCCGTGTCTAAGTCGCACTGGCCACATGACCACGGAAACTGTTTTCGGACAAACGCTGGCTCTACGGCTTGGAAACGGGGATGAGCACCGCCCCCTAGAGTTGGACATGACTACACTAAATGTCAAGGGGAACCTTTACCTTTAACAATTATAGTTTTGAAATCCAGTGAAGTACAAGTCCCTCTCTATCTGGCACAGTTGTACCAGTTTGACAGCATCTTGAGCACCAGACTTTAAATAGGATGCTGACAAATTGGAACAACTGCAGAGGAGGGCAACAAGGATGGTCAAGGGACTGGGAGCCAAGCCCTATGACTGAAAACTAAAAGAACTTGGAACGTCTAGCCTTGAGAAGAGAAGGGGAGATTTGATAACACATTTCAGATACTTAAAAGATTGTCATTACAGAGGAGGGGAAGGATCTGGTTTAAGTCATTCTAGTTTGCAAGACACATAATAATGGTCTCAAGTTACAGGAAGCCAGGTTTCAGTTGAATATCAGGAAAAACTTTCTGTTAGAGCAGTATGACAGCTAGTTATCTTGGGAGGTGGTGAGCGCTCCAACACTGGAGATATTCAAGAAAAAAACCAAACAACCATCTGTCAGATATACTTTAATTTGGATTTTTGCATCAAGCAAAGAGTTGGACTCACTGGTCTTATAGCCCCAACTCCATTATTCTATGATTCTACGGATGGAAGTTGTTAATCACAAGGAATGTTAAGTTCCATTGATTCTAATTCATCTTGCTAGTTGGGAGAAATTGGTGCTGATAAATGAGATGCCAATAACATTCTTAGTTTCATGCCTGTCACACAACCAGATGTGACTAAGAAGTCAAGCAGCAACTCATTAATTAGCAGCAGTTAGCCATGGCAACTTACACTATTTCACTTATACCCACATAAACCTTCTGCCAAATTGGTATGCTAAAATTTGAGCCTCAGAGCCTTCCATTTCAGCAAGCTTAAAAGAAATGTCGGTGGGTACACTAGCTTCCATATAATCTGCTTTCTCCATTATAATGAAACAAGTTTTTTTCTGTTGCGAATAGAGAGATCTATTCTTTTGCGCGGCATACAACTGTTGTACTTTTTGCCATTTTATTTCTTGTAGCTGATATGAAAAGACTGGTATGGCATGCACAGCCTAAAAAAAAGTTTCCTTTTTTCAAAGCTCCTTCAAGAAGTACAAATCAATATTCTTTATATATTTAGAAATGAAAATGAAAATAAAGAAATATAATAGTTAATAACTCTGGTTAAGAGCTATATAATAACATAACACTTTCCTAATGTGTAAATTAGAGATATCCATTGATGGGTCAGCTGTTTATAGACATTTACTTGGAGTACAACTATAATAGGGAGAAAAAATATATAGCCACAAAGCGTAAAACTGTGCCTCCTTCCTTGTCCTCCCAGCAGATGACGACTGAAATGTTATCAGAAAATGCTCTAAAGAACTGGTACCATTAAATCTAATACCATACAGTATCCAGATTGCAACTTAGAAACTCTATGGGAATTAAATAGCTTTCCAGCAACCATTTTGGTTGAACCTTATCAGCCTCCTATAAAGTTTTTATAACCTACAGAAGTGGAAATAGTGAATTTTTATATACTTGTAGAAAATCATCATTTTTTGATAGAAAAATCCTGGAGTTTTTGTTTGTTTTTTGTTTTGAAGCAATTTCATTTTTTACATTGTTTCTTAACGGTACAAGCCTATATGGACCAACCTAGGAATAAATCCCACTAAATTCAGTGTTTACCTCTGAGTTGGAATGCATAGGATTGTGCTGAAAATTACAGACATATGGTTCAGGGTTAGTGTATGAATTTCAGTAGATTTAAGCCGTCCTTGTTTATTGTCTTCTTAGTTGTTATGTCTCATTAACTAGCTCTCCTTACAAGAATAATGAAGTAGAGCAGAACAAACTGCTGGCTAGGGCCGCACCAGCTTTTTTGAAAGGCAAAGGGTAAGTTTTGAAAGGTGCATCAATAGCTTGCACTAACATAACTAAAGCAAATGCCTTTTCCTTTCAATATACTGTATGTTCTACATTTACCAAGTAAGGTTTTCTTTTTCATTTGCCATTTGGATTAAATACAAATAAGCATATAAAAGCATATATAGCTAACATTTCAACGGTTGTCTTGATATCATATCTTAAAATCCAGGTAATTCTACATTTTGAAACACATTGATGTATGTGTGATTAAAAGTTTGCACTTCCATCCTGAGAGCCAATCTGTATGTGTGTGTAGCAGAATAATGTGGTACACAGTTCCCAGAACTATAGCACCTGACGTGCACTTGGGGAAGTTACATATTTAATTGATCCCTTTTTTAAAAAAATCTCCCCAACCATGAAAATCTAGGACATCAGTGAGAGCATTCTAAGCTAGTCTTCTCCTTGATGCCCTAGATTGCTATGTCCAAAGGGACTGTTTTACAGGGGCTAGGATTCTGACATCCATTTGAAACTATTTGAAATCATTCATTCCCAAGAGCTGTGTAACGTGTTCTGTTTCATTATGTAGATCGCTTCTGAGAAATACAGCTGATGTCAATTGTCTTTAAAACGTCTTTAAAAATTGCTTCAGTTAGCAGCTTCTGAAAGCTGTTATTGTTTAAATTATGCTGCATCGTAGCACTAATCCATGGCCAGATTCTGTGTGGTCCTTGAGCATCTCTGCTTCTTTAGGCATGCTCTATACTTCTTTAGATATTTGTAAGCATGTTGCATACTTACGCAAACTGAAACTCTTGTCTTACAAAGCCCTCTTTCTTAATAATTCTAAATTCTACCCTGATTGGTTGGAACTGATAAAACATCAGAACTTGTTTGTTGAAGAAGGTTTGACTGTTCTTTTTATATATTCCCATTTCACACTCTTACTTGCTCCTGCTTTCTCTGTTTATTTCTCTTTGTCTGTCCGGACTACACCCTTTTCCCCCCAACCCTATTTCAGGTTACAGTATAGCCTCGATGTTGCAGACAGGCTGGCTGATGAACATGTTCTCATTGGGTTGTATGTCAACATGCTCCAGAACAACCCCTCACGGTTAGTGCAGGCTGGGCACCTTGGTGGGGATCAGCCTGGTGAATCCAGGTCATGGCAGACTGCAGTTCCTAAAGACAAGAGCAGAAACTAAATGGACTGAGCAGCAGTGCTGAATGTTACCCAAGAAAGGTTGCCTTGGGTAGGATTATGACTATGAACATTTATTTGTACTATATTAGCCTTCAAAAGGCAGTCATAAAAGTACTTATAGATATTATACAAGCTCTGACACATTTATCCTAGTCACTGAACATTTGAGCTATGAGTCACATTAGTCTAGGGCCACTTCATATACTTTGTGTATATTGAACACACTTCTTTATATATATATGAAGATTCTCATACCCAGCTACCATAAGTCCATGTTTTCACTGCACATGTGCATACTGAGAAGGCAGAAATGGCCACTGCTCCTCATGCAGTGATCTACACTATGTCCATCACTCTTAATTCAGGGAAGCAATTTCTAAGTAAACAAACTCTTTGTTGAACAATGAGCATTTAATAAACATATGCAGATGTAATGAGCTTATTTTAGTATTGTACAGTTGGCAAGCAATTGTTACTAATAATTGTCTAAACGGTGCTCTTAATGTGCAATTGTTATGTTGTTTGTCATCAAAATAACTCTGTAATATAAAGATATTTACATCTAGGGAGTTCATGCCTAAGCAGAGAAATGAACCCAGTTCTTTCAGGTCCACTTCCCTTTCAAACAGACCACACTAGCTTATCTCTAGAAATATGTGGAACCAAATGCACAGATTCACCCATTAGCTGAAATCACTTTGAACATGTGGTAAGACAAGAGTTAAAAGCAAAACTTGGAAGAGCTACATTTTGGATAACAATTCTCAGAATCCTCAAGGGCTAATTTTAAAAAGTAATTTTTCCAAAGTCTATTTTAAAGAGTTGGGGGGAGACATTTTATTTATCTGCTGCTATTCCAGAACAGTGCCTAAGATGGTGCTCAAAAGAAGTTTCTACACCAAGTTGATAGAAAGCATGCTGTGATCCACTCTACAGTGCCTTTCAGAATGTAGCTACTGGCTGGACATCATATTCACGAAGTACTTGTGGAACAACATCATAATTGAACTGGAACTCTGTACTGAGCCAGATTTTTGCCTGGCAAATATCATTAAAACAAGTATCTGCTTCCATGTGTCACAAACAAGCTTAGCACATTCTCTGCTTCGTGGTGAACAAAATAACACTTTCTAATGGTTAGATATTTAATTGATGGGTCTTATATATATATATATAATTTCTTATACAGCAGGACGTGTTATCCATCATGGGAATATTCTATGCAGAGTGCCCTATGTTTCTTGCCAACCATAGCTTTTTGTCTGCCAGTAGTTCATAGTATCAGTAACATTCAGATAATTCATTTCTATTTATCTTGGTAAGTCTGTGCTGATATGGTTGAACTTCAGTTCACATGTTTAGCAGAGAAAAGTAAATGTGCTACAGCAAGCCTTTAATGTTTCAGAAAACTGGATGTAAATGCAGTAAAATCCATCATAGTTCTAACACTTGAACAAACAAGTAGTACAAGCATCTGATTATTAATATTTAAAGACTGAAGTCTGAGCGCCCCTAATTAAAAAGAGTTTCAGCCTTTCACAAGGGCTACCTTCTGAACTTTCAACAGGCAAAATTAGCTGATGGCTAATAATCTGAACCTTGTATTAGATAAACCATGCTGGAAATGAGTTGGGAAAAAGGCACGATTGTGAATAATTTGAACTGACCCAATATAAAATAATTGGTTGTTTCCAAAGACTATATGATTTTCTTTATAGAGTCACATTGTTCCTGAAACTATCCTTAGATAGTCTCCTGAGATGACACTTATTGTCAGTAGCTATACATGAAACTGATGGCTGTCTTCTAACCACAGAGATGTTGTACAGTGGGCCAGAAAGTTCTGAATAAGAAGATTGGTTTTCTGTACTACTTATAGTGCAAAGAAGGAAGCAGAATCACTGTTCACACTAACAGCCATTGTTAAGCCAAAATCAGTTTAAAATTTCAGGAAGAGAAATTCAGATGACAAGATGATTTTGCGTAACCATAAGAGTAGCCAGATATTAGGGCCATGCAAACCAGACATTTTGAAATCACTTTCCTTGGATAAGCCTCAAGTAAAAGCTGAATTAAAGCAAGAGCTTAGTTCAAAGTAGGTACCAGTGCTACCTGGAGTGGTAGTATGCATAACAGCATATAGTCTCCCATTATTAGAGGTACCTGTATAGAAAGCAGATAGCATGTCTGGATAGTCATGGAGAGGAATGCTGTCAAGAGAAGGCAAATGCCAAATAATGCAAAAGTAATGCAATACTGCTGTGAAGTTCTGAACTATTTATCTGAGTGATCTGTAGCTTCATCTGAGAGATCTGGGATGCTTGAAAAAAATGGAATGACCTAGGATTGCCAGCTGACCAGGAAAAAAACTGTCCTGGCCTTCTCTTTATGTTTAAGACTAGCTTGATGGTGTGCAAAATGCAACAGGTGACACTTTGGAAATAGCATCATTTGCTAATCTTTGAACACCAAGAAGCTATTACATTGCTACAGTGGCCAAGTGAAAGTGGACAACTCCCACAATAATCAGAGTTTCCTATAAATAAGAATGCTGTTCCAGGGGGTGGGAGAAACACTGAGATGAGGCTACATCAGGGACATAGACCAATATAAACAATCCAATGTATGTGGGTTCTAATAAATCTGATCTCTTTTTTTATGTAAATTTCAGAAATGAAATGTACTTTGCACTGCTTGTTTATTTTTGTCATTTGGGGATGGGCAACAAATTTCCTCCAAATCAGTGCTGCTTCTTTTTACTGCACTATGGCAGTATGTTTTTGTTGTAGTTTTGTTTGTTTGTTTTTTACCAGTTGAGTATGATATGACTTATTTGCTGGAATCATCTAAGTTGATTTAGAATACAATAAAATTCTCTGGCAGTCTCCAAACATGTGTCCACTTAAAAATAACCAAGATTCTTGCTCTGTGTTTTTATCTATCATTATGTAATATCAGCATCTTTTTTGTAACCTCCAGCTGCAATGCATGTGCCCAAGATGAATTTACGTGTTTAGTTGACTTGACAGCAAATAAGTGGTTTATATCAGTGTTTCTCTTGCCTAGAGGTGATGATATATGAGGTTGTTTTGACATTCCATCCTGTCTATTGGCTTTCTAGCTGCAAGCCTCATAGGGGATGCTCATGGCCCTTTCATGACATACTTGCCTTGCAGCAAGAAGCATTTACCAAGAGGACCAGCCAAAACTTTTTAGAATTCCTTATAATATATTTTGGCAGCAGTTTCTGCAGCAAGAAGCTGTTTTTCTTTCTTTTCAGCTGCATTCTCCATTACACACCTTCATTTTCTTCTACAACTCAGTGGGGTCATTGGGAAAGTAGAGAAGATCCTATTCATTGCAGCAGGTATTCTGCCTACAAAGCATAGCTTTCCTACCTACAAAGTACAACTTCTTTTCAGGCAATAGGTTACCTGCCTGCAAAGCACAGCACAGTTCCAGAAAACAGCTTTCCTGCTTGCAAATAACCACTTAACTCTGTGCAGAGTGATAGGCAATAACTGCCAAGGGGAGAATCCCTCCTCATCACAGTACGCTGGATTACAGCATATGCACAAAAGAGACAGAAATGTCTCATAGCCTCTGCATGGCCCTGCAGTATCTAGATATTTATGCCGCTTTTACTATAGTTGTATAGGCTGATGCAGAAATAAAAAGATTAGAATTGGCTTCTCAGAGGTCTCTCGAATAATTTAATTGTTTGCACTTTTCTTCTAGTGTTGCCCTTTTCTACATTTTGTTCAGTTCTGATTTTTATATACATACCATTTCAGGAGAGTTTTATTTATTCGTCAAGAAGGGTGATCAGTACCAAAACAATGTGAGTTGGCTGTACAGAATTCCAAGTGCTGTCTGACATCCTATTTCATTATGCAGATGAATTTTGCCCTATCCTAGGCTCATGTAATAAATAAACTACACCGGAGCATTGGAAAAATATATTTGAAACAATTTAGGGCTGATGGCCATGAAGAAAAATCTCAGAGCAATTTATGCCTATGCCTTATACCAGCTGTTTATGAGAGTGTTCACATTAAATAAGTTAGGCTGCAAATTTATACACACTTACCAGTGAATACGTTTCATACGAGCATTCAGTGGGATTTCTGAATAGACATGCATAGGGAGTACACTGTTTATGTTTATTTTAAGTCTGCATGTTTCTGTTTCTTCAACCATTAATTTAATCAGCTAATGCTCTGCAGCACAATCCTTTGCATCTTTACTGAGAAGTAAGTCTCACTCTGTTCACCAGGCTTTATTCTCTAGTAAGTGTGCACAGAATTGCAGTCCAAAACTCCCATATTATATTGAATTCCCTGAAAGTAGTCTCATTGAATGCAATCAGATTAATTTCTGAGTAAACATGCATATTACTGTGCAGTTGATTGATCAGTTAGTGGATGCCCATTAAGATAAAAATATAGTAAATAAAATAGTAATAATACTCTTACAGACAACTAGTTCAGGAATGCTAATTGATTATCTAGGAACACATTCCATCGAATTCTGAAGGTTTTGCTTCTGAGCATATACATAGGACTGTACCATAAATGTATTAACTTGTATATTACCAATCTTCATTATAGGGACCAATTTATTATATGTAAAGCAATCTGAACTAATTTAAATTTTCTAAAGTTACTCTCTGTTAAAAGCAGACACTATTTTTGTTATTTCCTCTAGCACCTTTTATTTTTGTAACTTATTAGAAAAGAATCCTTACTAGAATAGCTCTTCCCCACAGTCACACACAAAAAAGATATTAGACAGTAACTTTCCCAATCTCTGGCAGAAAAGTAACTTTTCCAAGTTTAGGGAAATCCAAAAAAAGAAAATACATGAATCTGGTAAGTGAAAAACAGTATTAAATAGCAGAATTTGCATTATAATGCTTTCGGATTTCCATAAAATAATACTTCACTTCACTAAAAAGGAGTAAAATAAGATTACTTGTGTTAGAAATTCCAAAACGACAAGGACCTAAATCCAACTTTTTGTTCCATCTATAGTAGATATATGGGCTGAAATCCTGCTGTAAGTTGCAACTAAAGCAGTCCATTCAGTTATTAGGGATTTTTTTGAGTCAACCTTTATGTAAATTCTATGGATTCAATGGCTCTACTGTAGCTGTGACTTACTGCTGGATTTCAGCTATTGTATCAATAGGACTTATGTTAAATGCTGACTTACCTAAGCTGTATTGATTCAGTAGATCTACTCTAAGGAGTAACAATCAGATTTAGTTTAAAATAATTTGATGGATTGAAATTGAGGCAAGGTTAACAATTTTAAAACCTAGGAAAAGCCATACTAGATTAGAGCATGGCATTTCCATCAGCAGCAGGGCAAATGCTTTCTGAAAGCCCAGAAGACGATTATGAAGGCAACAGTCTTCACTGGTTTTCTCCTCAGGCAATGATATTCAGAAGCATACTGCCTCTGTAAATGTGTGGTTTATGGCTGGTAGTTGGGAGATCTGTACTCCATAGAATTGTCTCATCTCCTTTTGAAGTGACTCATGTCAGTGATCACTGGCACACTTTATTTTGTGTTGTCCTCTAAGCAATTTAATTAGGTAACCCTGAGTAAACAAGGGAGAAAAGTTTCTCTCTGTGTATTTTCTTGATGACATTCATAATTTTATTAACCTCTATCATGCCCCAGCTTTGCTCATATTTTCTCTATATAGGTTAAGGAACATAGTCCTCTTAACCTATATATTAATGGCTCTTCCATTTTTCCTTGCACCTCCCACAACAGTTTGCTTGACAGCCCAAACCGTCTAGATGAAGAGCACAGACTGATCGCCAGGTATGCAGCAAGACTGGCAGCAGAGACTACTTCATCAGTAAGTGGTTTAAATTAGGGGGAGGTTTTTGCTTCTTTCTTTTTTAAAAACTTGCTTAAATGGAAATGTTCACCAAGCTCAAGAAAATTAATTCAGATAGTTGCCATTCATCACAGATTACACTAAAAGTAGGCTGCAACTATTCCCTGGGATAGGCTGGCTAACCTCTTAGCAATGCTTAATGAGAGAGAGAGAGAGAGATGGTGCACTGCCCAACTTTTGTAGACCCTTACATACCATATTTGCTGGTGTATAAGGTGACTTTTTTGGCCCCAAAAACATGCCTCCAAGTGGGGGGGTCATCTTATACGCTGGTTGCACTTCAGTTGGGCCAGGAAGGAGCCGCCGCCACCGCCACCACCGTTGAGTGACGTGGGGCCGCGCTGGCAGGGGAGGAAGGCAGGCGGGCAGGCAGGCAGTTGGTCCGGACGGAGGGAGGGAAGCAGAGCCAGCCATGCCTGAGTGGGCAGAGCCCGCTGCCAGGCTGCCTACCACGCCGCTGAGCCAGCTGCCCGCTCACTGCCGGATAGCCGCTTCTCCTCCTCCTCCTCCTCTGCTGCCACCGCCCACCTGGCCACTTCCCCTCCTCCTCACCCTCGCCGCTGAGCCAGCTGCCTGCTCGCCCACCCCCCCTCCTCCTCCTCTGCTGCCGCCGGCCGCTTCCCCTCCTCCTCGCCCTCCTCCTCGCCAGCCATTAATTTCCAGGGCGGACTCGGGCAGAGCCCCGGGCAGACGCCGCCGCTGCAGCAGAGCCGTCCACTCTATATTTTGAGTGGAAATGTTGGGGGGGTCGTCTTATATGCACAGTCGTCTTGTACATCGGCAAATACGGTATATGTTGGAACCTCCACTAATTCTCTAGCAACACTAGATCATAACAGGGATTTCTAATCTAACAGTTACTATTTATGAGTATATTACCCTTTTTGTCCTTTAAGTTTTGCTTGTGAGCTACCAGACTAAAGCACTTACATGGTTTCAGTGGGTGAATTAAGTATATGGTTGTTCTGGGTTTTTCGGGCTCTTTGGCCGTGTTCTGAAAGTTGTTCTTCTTGACGTTTTCGCCAGACTCTGTGGCTGGCATCTTCAGAGGACAGCAACCTGTGCTCTGGTGTAGTTGGCTTGGGAGTGCAGTATTTATGGCTGTGAGATAGGCTTTTGTCTTTTTCTGTAAATGGGTGATTAGTGTGTATTGTTGTGGGTGTATTGTTGTGCTAAGGACAAGAGATTATCTGTTCCTGTGGTTGATGGGTGTCATTAGCTGGTCTTTTGTGTGTAGTGATCCCCTGTCCTTGTGGGTGGGTAGAGTTCATCAGGAAGAACAACCTTCAGAACACGGCCAAAGAGGCCGAAAAGTCCAGAACAACCATTAGATCCCGGCCATGAAAGCCTTCGCGAATTAAGTATATGTTCCACTCTTGAATGGAAATCAAAATTTAGCACTTTTCTGCCATTTGGTGGCTTTTATCTTTTGGTTTTGTACAGTAATGTAGTACACTGAAAAACTTCACATAATGGTCAAAATCTTCTTGCATACCTACACAAATGGCAGAACTTTGAGAGGTAAATGGCCCCAGATTACAAAACTGCCATAGGCATTACCAGTGGCCTGATGAGTCACACGATTCAGTGGCTGAAATCCTGTTACTTAGTGTAGTAAATTGCAACTAGAATAGCCCACTGAATCATTGGGGATTTGGCGAGTGGACTCCTCTGTAAGTTCAATTGATTCATTGGGTCTATGCTGGTTGCAACTTAACTGTGCTAAGCAACAGAATTTAAGCAGTTGTGCTTTGCATTTACTGTTGTTTTATAATTATTATTGATTTAAATTATTTTGATATTGTGTGGGATCCCTCCCCATAAATCTGTAGTTACAGACTGAAATCCAAATTGATTTATAGCAGCAACTATAAAACAGTAATAGATGTATCTTCAAAAGTACTGTTAACATCCTTGATGGGATAAGAAAACTCTCCAGGAAAAAATATATTTAAAAACCCTATCAGAAACCAACTTGACATAAAATCTGCTTCCTTGTACTCTTATTGAGAGAGAGCCTTTGGTGTTGGTCGGGCTGGCCTTTTGAGATTATTTGACCTAGCTCTGCCAAGGTACGAAGTTTATGTGACAATTCCAGCTCTCTATCAATGCCAGTATAATTCTTTTGAGCTCAGCTTGAAGTTCTGGAGCTAGTAAAAACCTATCTTGAAGGAGAAACAAGCTCTGTGGAGTCCCCTAATTCCTCTTCATCTAGGATTAAGATCCAAGCCAGTTTCCCTGGCTGAAAGGCAACACAAGGAGAGTGATCTTTGCTGGCTAACCACAGAACATGTTGGCCAGGGACCTATAGAGGCATTGGAAGCCAAATACTAAGCTGTCAACGATTTCCAGCTATTACCCTAGTGTGTTCTGAGCATCTGAAACTGAACTGACTGCTTTGACACTGCTGCAGAAGAAAATAAACAAGAGAAAGAGTCCACATAACACATAACATTCTTAGGATTTCAACCATGAACAGTCCCTCCTCCATTTCAATTTTTGCCCCTACAGTCTTTGAAATGGGAGGGGGTTCCAACCAATACAGGTCCTTTTACAAATTCAACATTCCTGCCTTCAGAATTCTATTGGATGAAAAAATTCCTGGGAGAATTGACAGGCAAAGTGTAAAAGAAAGCTCAAATGAAAGAACACACAAAAAATGAAATGTCAGTATCGTATTTTTTCATTTATATGACCCAATGTATAAGACAACCCCCCTTTTCTAACTCCAAATTAGAAAAAGCAAGGGTCAAAGGGCTCCCTTTTTGCTGTGCCCGTGCCTTGGCAAAAGGCAAGGAAAGTGGCTGTCAAAGTGACTGCCACTTTTCCTTGCCTTTCGAGAAACCACGGAGCATACAAAAAAGGAAGGGAGCAATGCCTCCCCTTCCTTTTTGCTAAGCCCCGCATGCACCCTTGCCTTTTGAGAAGGCATGGAGCTTAGCAAAAAGAAAGAGAGCAACGACTCCCCTTCCTTTTTGCTAAGCCCCGCATGCACCCTTGCCTTTTGAGAAGGCACAGAGTTTAGCAAAAAGGAAAGGAGAAACAGCTCCCCTTCCTTTTTATAAAGCCCCATACCTTCGCAAAAGACAGCAGTAAAAATTGACCCTCAATTTTTTCTCAAATTATTTAAAGAAAAAGTGTCATTTTATACACAGAAAAATATAGTATATATCTCATTAATAGAAATCCTATATGTTTAAGAGCCTCTCTCGTCGTAACTAATGAACTAACATGAAAATGAACAAAATGTTTTGCTTTGTTTTTTGTTAAAACATGAAAATCCCATCTCTAATAACCATGATGACTAGGAGTCGCCCAGGAGAAAAAGAACAAGTTTGATGTGTTGTAAGCAAAAGGGGTTTGTATGTCTAGAACACCAATAGACTCTGAAACATGATATACATTTTTTTGGTAAGAATTGTTGTAATTATGAAATGATGAACATTGTTGGTCTGACCTTGCTTTTTCCAACAGGCTTTCTAGCAGTAATAGAAAATAATATTCTTTTTTTTAGTGCAAAACATATCTCTGAACCTTGTTGCACAACAGCACATTAAAACCAAGGAATGACTTTTATGGAAAGAAGCTGCTCCAGCCCACCACTACCCCATGAGGTGTAAATCATAACTACAGCCTCTTAGCAAAGTATCAGGAACTGTAAACAGTTCCTTCACATCATGTAGCTTTTCAAGAAAGACCTTTTCAAAGACAGATTCTGCTGCCCAAGCTAGTTACTGGAAGCTTCTGGGCAGACAAGAGAAAAAAGGTAAAGATAAAGGTAAAGGTCCCCCTTGACATTTAGTCCAGTCATGTCTCACTCTAGGGCATGGTGCTCATCCCCATTTCCAAGCCATAGAGCCAGCATTTGTCCAAAGACAGTTTCTGTGGTCATGTGACTAGCGCGACTAGATACGGAACGCCGTTACCTTCCCACTGAGGTGGTACCTATTTATCTATTCGCATTTTCATGCTTTCGAATTGCTAAGTTGGTGGGAGCTGGGACAAGCGATGAGTGCTCACTCCGTCGTGTGGATTCGATCTTATGATTGCTTGGTCTTCTGACCTTGCAGCACAGGGGCTTCTGCGGACAAGAGAAAAAAGGTCCCATTCAACTAACAATAAGATCTCCTAAGTTCTTGCATGCCTTTCTCCTGATCATAGTACATTTTTCCAGCCCCCCCCCCGGTTTGTTCTCTGATCCATAGTATTTCTCAATCTAGACTTCTATTTCTTGGCTCTGAGGTCACATCAGATAACTACTTATGGCCAAGGTCTGACACTGATACTGTTACACTAAATTTCTTCCCACCAAAAAACGATTTCCTACAACAGTCAATTGTGCTGCTGTAGAAATATTTTTGTGAAAAGTTCACTAGGGTAAACGGCAAAAATAGGCAGTGCTGGACACCTAACAAGGAATGAGATTGGCCAAAATAATGTGCAGGCTCAGAGGCTGGTGCAACTCTTGATAATAGTGTATGGCAGGGCTGAGCAGTCTCAACAAGGCCTTTGGCCCAAAACCCACAGTTCCAAGGGGATGGGTCTGAAAAGAAGGGATGTAGCCAAAAAGACTGATTTGCAATATTGATTTCTTTTTAATGCACCTGTTATATCCTGTACAAGTTGCTACAATGTATTTTTATTAACCTAAATGGATTTAAAATTTTAAAAGGAATTAAGGAGCTTCTTTATGCATGCTCATGGCCAGAGGAGCTTTTTTAATTTCAAAAAATATTTGGAGGTGGGACCCCAGGAATGAGTGAGCTGCCAAAAAGAGAGAGAGAACGCACAATGCAACTTTTTGAAGAAAATTTGAATTTATTTTAAATTAAGGCAAACTGGGGGATCCTAGGAATATTGGGGACCATATGCAGTTCACAGACTCCATGTTGCCCACCTATGTTTTATTGTGTAACCTAAATTTCTGATAAATATGGATGTTATTCCTGAAGAATGCC